GAATGTAGCCCAAGAGGTGCAGTGCCACAGGTATCTAATTGAACACAAAACTCGGCCTTGGTTAAATTTTTTATGCTCTTGGTCACATAGTGAGTCAACACGGGAGCCAGAAACAGAATCCAAAAACTCATGTAAAAAATTTTCCTGGCATTTCCCCTCAGTCATCTCCGTTGTGGGCACAATACTGGAAGCCAGAGTCAGCAGCCATTCAGGAATACCACCATGAGTTCTGCTAAGGGCAGCCCTAAACAGACAATGAGTAGAACACCCCTGGCATCGAGGATCCCATTTATACCAGCGCTTCCAACCCCGCCACCGCTAACACAGCCGAACCAGCTTTATCAGCAGGGACAACTTCCCTACGGTATTGCTAGCGCAGGACAAAGTTAAGTATCCTAATACCTAGTCAGCCTCCTGCTCTATACCAGCAGGTCATGCTAATTATATATTGGAGCCATCACGTGGTGGCTATGTTTACTTCAAGAATTACAGCCGGGTTTCCTCCCTCTCAGATCTATGCATGTGTGTGTACACATAGACAGAGACACAGTATATTGTTTTAACCATGAGACTGGATTAGTGGGCTTCTTTGGGGATTCTTGGGAAAATGAAAATAATTTTCTTATAAAAAGAAAGAAGAAGAGAGAAAAAAATATATTTTTATATTTTTTTTTCTTTTTATAAGGAGAAAAGGGGGTACTCCTCATTCATGAAGAGTGTCAGGGTATATAATTTGAGACTGCATTTCTTTTCAGGTAACACAGGCACTAAAGGATCGCGGAAGGTCAGGCAGAGCTGAGAGAGCATGGTAGCACGTTAGCAGTACAAGGAGATCACCGAGATTTCACAGGGTGGGACCCGAGGTATTATCATCAGCCCCCAAAAGCCATTCTAACGCTCCCTGTAACCACAGAGTTGTACCCAACTCGGAAGCCACAGCAGCATAAACAGCCCTTTGTGTTTGATGGGGTTCATATAAACAAATCCAGGTCCCAGCACCACTCCTTTGGTGTGACCCAAGTTCACGGAAGCTGCAGAACAGTGTTTTTAAGGAACAGCCTGTCCCACTGCTGTCACAGGTGACAACAGGAGCAGCGGCAAAGCATAACTCAAGTTCTGGCAGACACAGACAGCTGCCATGCAGAGCCCTGCTGACGTTTGCCAAACCACTACTACCATTAACTGTGCTTTAGACAGAGCAACGGCAAAGACCGAAAACTGAGAGCAAGAGTCTGATGCTGATACCTGAAACAATCACTTGGAAAACGTGACAGCTACAGTATCTTCTGAGATTTTTAAGGACTGCCAATATCTGCCTGAAAAGACACGTCACCTGAAGAATCCATACCATCTAAGTTTCAGCTGTACATTTAAGTGCCCTGGGCTGAGCACCAGCCAAATTTCCATCAGCTGGGGGAAAGTTCTTTCTCATCACAGTAAATAGAGCAATGGCTGGTAAGGAAGGGCCTCTCAGAGAGGTGAAAAACCAAGAATCACTGGGGAGGGGGAGAAACACACATTATCTAACCCTGAGAAAAACCTCTCAAAAGTTTACTGTCTCCACTATAATGTCGCAACCCCGTAACAACACAAAGGAATTGTGAAACAACTCATTTATGAGAGGTTTGTACAGAAAAGCACAGTATTTTTGCCAAGTGTTAGCACACAGCTGAAGATGCTGATATCACCTGACATGTATTCAGGTGACAGTCAGCACATCCACACCTCCTCTTTTAGGAGTTATTTTAAAAAGAAAATTACCAATCTAAGATGGCAAGACACGACAAAACAAGGTTAATGAGTAGAAGGAGGCATACAAGCTGATAAACAAAGCACAACTCAGCATGCAAGAGCTGAAGATGAGGCTATACGCTACATGGGAATCCTTAAAACTTGTGTATTTGTATTTTTAGTGATAGAGAAAGGCAAGCGTTGAGTCTCTCTCCCTTTCCCTCTTGCAACTCGCTGGCAGTTGGAAGAAAGCTTATGGGTGCTGGGTCACGAGCAGACCCCAACCACCCTGTTCATGCACACGGGGCCCTGTGTATGTATGTACATATATATGTACATACGTAGCGGTACAGGTGTACAGACGAACAGACAGACACTTACCCAAGGTGAACTCCCATTGCTCGTTCCCCAGAGACCGCTCGGGCACCACCTCCAGATCTAGCATTGGCTCAGGTAGCGCGGAGGCCGCGGGCTGGCACGGCAGGTCACCCGGTGGCTGCGCCGGACCTCT